TCGCTTGTGCAGATAACAAGCTTGAAAATCTTGCTGGTGACTTCATCGACATTTCTAGGAGTTTATGTTTTTCAAAATACAAGGTCTTTAACAAAAAATAACGTATACTTATTGTCGTTGGATTAACACCAAATTTTCACAGCTTTAAGGTGACAATGAGAGGAACTTGAATGTGTCCAGACAAACTATTTCATGGATTATTTACCAATGTGTTGTGGTTTGAGTTGCGGTCAATGCGACTAAAACAGAAATTATAATTCAGGACACTATTTTTCAAAATGCGTTGCTTGAATAAAACTGATCAGACACATTCAATTTACCAGACTATTGAACAACTAGGAAAAACGAAAACAAAACTTATTATCACCAGCATAAATGCGTAATTATTTTAATTAATTATTTTAAAAGTAATTTTTCACTTTTGATTAAGTAACTCACCGTAGAATGCAGATACGGGCATGACAAACACACCTTTGAAAAGCTTGAAGTCTGGCGATTCCAAAAATATATACTTTCCTGGGTCTATTTGTAGTCGTTTGCTCCCAATTAGAAGATGAAAAAAAGTATGCAAATAATAGTCCCGCTACCTTAAACAACTTGGACAAATGCCGATGTGTAGACACGCAATCGCCACGATGACTGACAGTGAATGAAAGACAGACGCGCCTCAAAGTCTAGATGTACCTGACTTTGTAGCAAAAATAGAAAACATTATGGGCAATATCTGCCAATCATTCCTCTGATTTGCAGCCGATGTTTATATTTCTAGTTACAACTTCTGTAAATTTGAAAACAAAGTGTGTAACCTATTGTAGTAGGTTATCAACATCTAGCACTACTTCAGCGTCAAATCAGAGCCTGGAATTGCTGTAAACTCGCAATTTATAATACAATACCACAGTCCCTCTGAGACTGTGACAATACTACTCACCATATTAAACTCATAATCCATTACACAATATGCCTTACTCACAATCTATAATAATACAATACCCACCCTAACTCGCACTACTCACCATATTAAACTCATAATCAATTACACAGTATGCCATACTCACAATCTATAATAATACAATACCCACCCTAACTCGCACTACTCACCATATTAAACTCATAAT